TAAGGGTATTCTTTAGCTTGTCCATTTCTGCTTCAAACATTTCCCCGGGTTTAAAAATGCCCCGAGTCAATTATGCTTCAAGGTTCCTGAATGTCAGTATGGACCTGGGCCCTGAGGCAGGAGAGGTACACTGAGGTATCTTAGCAACAAGGCCAAGGTTCACACCAGCAGATGAGTGTCTCTCCAAACTCCAAAAAATCCCCGCTAAATGTTATCCTGTTTTCTCTGTGAACCCTGAAACTAACCATAAATATCCCATTTACTTCACAGCAACAGAGAGGTTGTGACAACAGATAGCAGGTCCCTGACCAGAAAATAGGAGCCAACAGCTTCATCACAGATAACCTACATTGTTTTAGTTGCATCCACAGAACATAAACACAATGTGAATCGCAGCCGGAGAGCTTGCTGTCGCATCACAGTGACATCTTGGAAGCCTTGGGTCACTCTGCTCATCAGAACATCTCTTGGTAGTTGTGAGGGTAGACGTATGCGGGGAATAACATGTAGGGTTAAGATCATCATGAACTGAGTGAACTGTCCCTTTATAACGCCCTTTACTCCAATGTTTTTGTTTTTTTCTGCATCCAGTTTTGATCTGTTGTCAATTGTAACTGATAGCTGGTGTGTTCAGTTTCATCTGTTTACATTGCTTATTTATTATCGTTGCTGCTGTTGTGTTTTACTGTATGTTAAGCATTTTATAAACCTTATTTTTAAGTGCTGCACAAATATATAATCGTTTTATTATGTTTCAAAAATAATTAAAAACGGTCCAAATGGCTGGTTATCTTTGTACAGTATAGTAGGATTTTAACGCATGCAATAATGCAGTTCAAGTCATTGGTTATTGTGAAGAAAAAATCACAATAATACCTCTGAACTGCATGTTTTATGATAAATCTATTCATCCACCTCCTTATTTTATACAGTGAAAGAAGAGCAGACTGTGGAAAATAACCTCCGCAGAGATTTTAAGTAGGTGGGCTATCAGATATTGTGGAATGAAAGCTTTGATGTGTCCTTGGAGCTTCTTCCCAGAGTGTTGTTAAGCAGACATGCTACCTTCAGGCTATAAGAGAGTTGGGGAGACATAACCATAAAAACAGATGAAACCTTATCACATACAAACACTCGGACATATAGAGAAGCAGACAGTGAGATTCATCTCTGTAGACAGGGGATGACTCATCTTCTATTCCAGGCCCAACTGTGACCCAGCCAGATCATGTAAACAAGACTGAAAACCTAAATATGGAGTCTTGCATATGCAAGTGACAAATACAGTAACCACTGATGAGCAGATTAGGTTTCCACCAGTAAGATGAAGTTAAAGGTCCCAACAGAATGCAACAAAAAACCCGAGGCAGCGCATGCTCACAGATCCTCTACGCTGCAGTCTGTGTGGAATGTAGATTGGTGGGTTGGGTGGGCATTTGTTCCTGGAGCACAACCCCACCTATCCCAACGATCTGCATCTGTTCAGCCTGTGTGGACATGTGCTCAGCTGTGCATTTGTGTGTATACGACTAGTGTGCTCTCAGCTGTGAGTGTGTCATTGTGTGTGTGTATGAGCAAGGAACAGTAGGCTGGATTCTGCCTTTGTGCATGTGGGGACATGTGTTGTCTCTCTTTCTGTGTGTGTTGGGGTGGGTTTGCAGGGTGGGGGGGGGGAGTAATGTGGAATTCTCCTGCTGCTGCCATCGCAAAGCCAGGCGACACACATAGCTCTGGTGTGTGTCTGCACTCTGTGACCCAGGACTGTGTGTGTTTATAGTTCTGTGTGAGAGACTTTTTTTGTCCCTTCCAATATCAAGCAAGAACAAGTATTGTATAAATGGAGGAGTGAAGTAAAGAGGAACCTGCGTTGGAGCGCTGTGGAGCGGTGAGTCATTCTGGTTGAAGTTTGGGTCCAGACAGCACGAGTTCCTCTGGTGGATCACGACAGAGCTCACATAAAGAATGTTTTATAATGTGCAAATATGTGAACAAACAGAACACCATATAATAATAGGCGGTGGCAGCCCTCAGGGGAATCCTTCAAGGTTTGGTCATTCTGCCATTTCGCTAAATACAGGTTGGGTGTCCGGTCACAATAAATCTACTGGAAGAACAAAGGGAAGTACAAAGGGAAGTGCAAATGTAAAGTTCAGAGCCTTTATGGTAGCAGCAAAAATATACGATAACATCATCAAAACTATATAGGTAACAACCCTGCAAATTGATGATGAAAGCTTCGGTTTGCTTTTGGTTCCACCGTCCATTAAATAAGCTTGCACAAAACATAACAAGTAGACGTGCTTTGAAAAAAATGATCAGTTAGTTACCAGCTGCGTCACTGTCCGGCTTGTTTACACACTGGTCTGTGCGCCTGTGTGTGTGTGTTTGAATTTTAATCATATCATTTGTCTGTTTGTCACTTTGATAGCATATCAACATGCATTCGCAAAACCGTACAGGTGTGCTTTTCAGAAATTATTCAGTCTGAAGATGGGTTTTGTTCAAGCAAGCAGGGGGGGTAGGAAACAGGGAAGGGGACACTGGCCTCCCCACTATACAGTATATTAGCACAATTTGGAGTTTTCAACTGGTGTAATCCCTCTAGTTTTCATGTTTTTGGACCAATTTTAAACTCCCAATAACTACATTTACAGCCGGCAGTTTATGTCAAACACTAAAAACATTGAATTAAAAGGTTGGCTCGCAGTAATAACAAAAATCTATTTTCACATTTGCCTTGCTTGACTCTATGCAACTATATTTGAATGGGCTAGAGGCATATTTCAAAACAGGATGGATAACACCAAAGCAAATCTGCGTAGTTAGCAAGTATGTGAGAATAAAGATTGCCCCTCAAACTAAACATAAAGATTCAAGCCTTTGATTCGTCTCAAAGTGTATTGACAACAACCGACTGCCGGAACGGAATAGATTGATTCCATTTGATCACAGGAATACACATGACACCAACGAGGACATAAAGAGGATAGAGAGATGTTTACACTTTGAGCCAAACATGATGCAACAAGTAGGTCAGGATTTCTTAACCTTGGTGGTAATCACAGAGCTGTCAACAGTCCCCGTCCACACGAACTCCTGCTGCCGCTCCACATGGTCTGAAGGCTCATCCTCACAGAGAGGAGAGAGGGAAGACACCATCTAACGTGTGTGGATCACAGAATAGAAGTCAGTGTGCCAAGGGGATGTAAGGATGTGAGCTTTAGAACATATGCTCAGAAGCTGACGGGATTGGAGTCTAATGGGATTGATCTAATCTGCTTTTACATTAATAGAAAGAGAAGAGAGAAAGAGAGAAACAACTATTTAGATCAAACTCACTGTTATGTTATGCACTTGGCTTGATGATGTGAAGAATACATATTTAAGCATCAAAACACAACACCTTCCTGTTGGACAGAATGAGCCACGCCAAGACGGTAACGATACCCACGTCATTTTAGCCTGAAGCAACTTCGCTCCTGTTGAAGATCAGCTGGCATTGGCTCAAAATTCTCCTAAACATACTCAGCCACCCTCTCACCAAACACCAACTCGTGCACGTATTATTCAGTAGGCGATGTTGCTCAACCAGTTCCTCCTCCTGTTACGTGTGTACCTGACTTTTTCCTACCTCAGGGCACCAGGCTGTGAGTGTAAACACACATGAATCATCAGCGTCTCCGACGATCAGTTTACCGTCATCATCAAATAGTCGTCAATCTTTTCCCACTCTTGTCTTCACAGGAGAACTTGTGATGGTGTTGTGCATCTGTTCTGTTAACCCTACAGATGGGACACATGACACACTGGGTGGTATGAGAGGCAGGAGCAAAGCAGAGGCACATTATGAGGAGGTGTTACAGTTTCACATATAGATACAAAATAATCTTGGAACAGGTAAACATGGCTAAACTATGTGATTTTGAAAAATGTCCATACCATTTTTTCTTTTTGTCTTGTATTGTTAGTCTAAAACCCACATGTACAGTTTAATATGATATAAAAAAGCAAAGAAAAACAAAATAATCTCAATTTACAGTCTTAAAAATGGCCTTTTTAAAATGTTTACATTACTTCAAAAGGTAAATGGATTATCAAAAAAGTTGACAATTAATTTTCTGTTGACTAATCATGACAGATTCCTTTCATGCGTCACAGCAGGGAAGAAGCAGCTGCAGCTATAAATGAACAATAATACCAATTATTTTCCACACAAGCTCATTATCTCCCTGTAAACAAACCTGTGCATGTCATACATTTTATTAGCTGCAGCTGTGTCTACCCGGCTCCGACACCTCGCTTCAACCACAATCTGATGTTTTGTCATACCCTATTAATCAACATTTAGATGCGTTACATTATTAGAAAGCAAATGCAGCCTTTGACTTAGCCTAGACACAGTCTTCACTCGTATATGTATATATATATATATATATCACGCTTTGTTCTACTTATTCTGTGATCTTCATGACTTTCACGGTAGTGTATAATAACAAGTGGGTGTCAGTATCATACGCTGCCTCTAAGTTGTGTCACAGGCTGCTGACTCATCAGAGTCCCCAGTGTTCACTGGATCTGTAATCTAATCACAGACAGAAATCCAGCTCACTTTATGGTGATTCACCGTACAGAGTGAACCGGGGGACGTCTGGAGACACTTGTTTCACAACACGGGCCCCAGGTGTCACATAGCAAAGAATAACACCGTAACTGCTGGTTACAAAAGCGTCAGCTTAGGCGACAAATGAGGAATTGATTGACGTTTTGTTTCATTTATTGTCACACTATCTTGACTCCAAGGTTTCCTCAGAACTGAGCTTTAGGATGTTTTGAAATCTTTCATTTTCTGTGGCAATCTTATCCGACACTGAACTTCTCAAACTGGACTTGGCCAAACTTAAAAAGGGAATGTTTGTGTCACCCTTCGTGGAATCTAGGTCGTTTTTATAATATCAAAATATGCATTTTTCTCATACTAGAAATCACCCCAGAGTAGCACATTTCAGTTAATAATCATTTTTTATTTTCTTTAGAAAAAGAAACTATCACAACTTCATTTGGTTACTGTACAGTTTCTCTTCTCATAGTCACTCATTCTGATAACAGTTTGTGATTTCATGCTGGAACACCAAACACCCTCCTACTAACGCACACCACTAGTTACAACATGACAGTATACTTTCCTCTTTTTCCACATTTTAAATCCTGTGATATTCTGGACTGAATAGCAAATAGAATTCACTTCTATAAAAAAAGAAAAAAACTGAGACAGAGTAGAAATCCCTGACAGATTCACTGAGGAAACGAGGGACAAGAGAAGGGACTCTGAGCGGTGTGGTCCATACAACCTGCACCTGACGATTGTGTGTTTTGGAGAGCACCATGGTTCACTGTCTGTGTGTGAGTTTAAGAGGTTCCCTGCCCTACATGAGACAAGAGTGGGAGAGAAAGAGTCGGTGGGGGGAGGAGAGTATCTAGGTCAGATTGTGGAGCATGCAGACCCCCTTTGCAGACACACTCATGTACGCATTCTCTCGCTCTCTGCGGACAAAACTACATGCATGTTCATCAACAGTCGGGACAGAGGACTGTAAGTGGAACACAGTTAATATAAGATTAAGGGATGTATCAAGTATGTCTCCCTGAGAAACACTTCTTTCTTCAGTACCATAAAAACCCCCCGTCACTGGCCCGTCCTATCAACCCATCTACACCTCATCCTGAAATAAAACAAATGTGGCTCATTGTTTTACATACCCTCTTCCTTTTTTCCTACAATTGAACGCACCTATTGTTCCATTAGGATTAGTGCACCGCTGCCAATGATCCCAGCAGCCGATAAGGGGGCAAGGGCTTGTGACATTCAAACAACTTTTAACTTTCCACAGCCAACTTTACACCCCGCAGGTGTATGTGTGCAGTGACTTGCATCTCCCCTTCTCTCTCATATATATATATATATACTGGTTTATGGGAGCCAGCCTCACATTGCAGGCTCAGTTTGTGAAGTGTGATGGTGACACCTTTGTGACAGTTTGAGTGGAGCTACTGTCCTCCCAACCCCCCCACTCTTTACACTAAAATGGGGGAGTTGGGAGGCGGAGGGGGGGGGGGGGGGGGGGGCTGTAAATAGGTTGTCCGACAGCCTCTCGACAACTCCCACAGTAGCACCACAGGGCTAAAGCACACACACATACTAACGTCACATTTTGAGCTGACATGCAAGCACCAGGGACCGGGAAAAGTAGAAAAAGAGCACAATTAGAACAGACAAAGAAGTGAAGACTTATTGCTAAAAAATGTATTCCTCATTCTTCACCATATAATGCCAGTCCCTCTTTACCTGTGGAAAGGCATTTATTGTGTATTCAAGGGGACATTTGTGTGCAGGGGCTCGAACATTAGCGCATGATTATTTTCTTCTATTAAATCACGTTGGATCAGACAAATCTTTGCTTGCTAATAACTCGTGTGATAAGAGTAATCTCTGTAGCCCTTTTCAAGTTTCACTCATATGAACACTCTCCCAGGAAAGGGATGGCGTCCTCTGCGAGTTAAGAAAGAGTGTGAAGTGAGGCAAGTGACAGTGCAGGTGTGCTTGAGTGTGTTTTGACTAAAAACACACCATGACGCGAGAACACACGCAGGTTAAAAACATTTGCTCATTTACGAAGCCGTCCACTCATACGAGGACGTTTTTAAAAAGCATTATCTAAAAATCAAACCTCATCAGTGGCTGTATAGAGAAATTCCACAGCCGCTCAAGAAAATCCTCTGTATAAAAACATCTTTTTTGAGTGTTTCATTTATTGTCTCTTGCTCTGCTCAGCTAATATTAAAAACCAGGAACTGGTGGTGTCGACACCTCTCAGTAGAAAACAAATAAAAGAACAACCAAACGAGTTTCAAAACCTAGTCTCCATGTTCTCCTGTGCTCCGACTCCTCCTGAGGAGTGCAGAGGTGGAGAAGAGAGGAGATGACAGCACTCTCTCTAAGAGACAAGTTTGGGTAGGACCGTGCGAAGAGGTAAGGTCTCTCCTGAGTCTCCCATCATGTGGCCCCGCAGTTTGTTGTTGGCAGCTGTGGTGCCTAAGCCAGGCCCCCCTTTGGCCAGGATGGAAGGGAAAGAGGTGCTGTGGGGCTCGGGGAGCCGTTTCATTGTGGCCCCTTGGCTCTTCTCGGTCCCTGGTAGGGGCTTGGGTAGGCGGCGATACAGCCAAGGGTGTCTGAGGGCCTGACTAGGGGTGAGACGTGACGAGGGGTCCCAGTCCAAACACTTCTTTATGAAGTCAGTAAAGGTGGGGTCCTCGCAGCCCTTGAGCGCGGCACTCCACTCCTTGCTACCTGGGGGGCCTCTCATCTTGCCGCGGCGAGAGCGAGACCCTGTCAGCACGGTGGCCCCTGTGGGCAGGGTGTTGGCCCCGCAGTAACGAGGGTGGCCCTTGGAGTTGATAAAGTTCTTTGCGCGTTTGGCCTGCTCCACCACCTTCTGGGGGGGCATGCCCAGCAGCTCCATGACACAGGCCAGCTGGTCGCCCTCGTCCTCGCCGGGGAACAGCGGGTAACCGGTCAGCAGCTCGGCCAGGATGCAGCCGAAGCTCCACATGTCGATCGGAAGGCCGTAGCGGGAACCTAGGATCACCTCTGGAGCTCGGTAGAAACGAGACTGGATGTAGGTGTACACCCGCTGGTGTTCAAAACAGCTGGAACCAAAGTCAATAACCTGGTGGAGACAAGAGAGGAGAGAGTCAATGTAGGAAACCACTTATCGCTCTGCAGGGGCCACAGGTGAACGTGCCAGGGGTCTCACCTTGATGCCGCTGCGGCCCTGCTGCTTCAGCAGGATGTTCTCCGGCTTGAGGTCACAGTGAATGATTCTGTGCCGGCTCAGGGCCTCCAGGCACTGCAGAATGGAGTGTGCAAACTTCCTGACCAGAGGCAGACTGAAGCCCTGGAATTTGTTGCGCTTGATAAGCTCATACAGGTTCATGCTCAGAAGCTCGAAGGTCATGCAGATGTGGTTGCGGAAGGTGAAGTTTTCGAGCATGTGCACCACGTTCATGGTGCCGTTGCGATCCTGCTTGCGCAGGTGCTCCAGGATGCGGATCTCCTCCTGCGCCTGCCGGTGGAAACGCTTCTCGTTGCGCACCATCTTCAGAGCCAGGTGCTGCTGCAGCTTGTGGTCGTACACCTTCGCCACCTGGCCAAAGCTGCCCTTACCAATGATCTGAGGAGAGCCCGAGAAAAGACTGAGTTAGCTTCACATCAGAGAGAGACTATAGTAGTTCTACGGTGTCATTGTGATAGCCCAAACACTTGACACACTGAAGAAAATCAAATCTCACAATATTTTTGTAACAAATAACAGGATATCAGTTTCATGACAATATTGTAGGCTTTAACATTGATGCTTTCACCAAATATTTACACAATGAGAGTTATCATAAATGATCATCTGTAGCCAGGAAGATTTCAATACCTTGAGGAACTCGTAGCGGTAAGCCAGGTGGTCATGGGCGACATTAATGTATCCGCCCTGCTCATCGTCGTAGCCACAGTTGTTGTTGCCGCCGGCGACGGCAGGCCTCTTCTTGGCATTGGGTCCCACGAAGTAGATGTCTGGGTAGGAGTGGATCTCCGTCTGCTCCAGGGTGGTCAGCTGAGATCGGTACAGCCTCAGAGCCTGGTCGGGGGTGAGGGGGCCGCACAGCTTCCCGCTGTTCCCCCCACTTCCAACGCCCAGCGTGCCGGAGGATTCACTGGAGCCCTTACTGGATTCAGTGCTGCGGCAAGCAAGCATGACAGAAACATGCTGTGAAGGGGGGTTCCTCCTGCTTGTGAATGTGTTTTTGGCAACTTTAGAATACTTTACTAGGATGTTTTTAAGTTATAGTGGCGTGTCCTTGTGTGTTTGTTTCTTACCTGTCTACACTGGGCTCCTTCGACAGGCTGGAGACCGCGGCGGGTTTACTGGGCGACTGTCCCGTGGTCCCACTGTTCAGAGGGGCGGCCGTTGTTATGGCGTTGACCTTTCGATTGTTGGTGGTGTCTTCATACAGGTACTTGACCTTCAGCTGGCCACCTCGCACACTCACCGGTTCCCTCATTACAGTCTTGTTACTGACAACCTGTGAGAGGAAGAAGAGACAAACCACTGACAAAAAGGCCACGAGCAGGGTGAACACGATTCATTTTGTCAAAGACGTTTTGATCATTGCGTTGTATGAATGTGTTCAATAGAGGACCACTCTGTTTTTGTCAGACTAGAGAGACTACTAGCCTGTAAAGGCCGCTACACACCAACCTGAGACCAAAGAACGCGTACCGAAGGTGTCCCGACTTTTACGTCTGCTACGCCGCCCGCCTACGAACACAACGCAAAGACTTCAGTTGACGAGTGGCAATAACTGTCCTTACCAGCAGGCAGCGGTAGTGTGTATTCGTCATTCAAAAGAGGCAACAACCGGAAGACAGACTATACACCGAGAGAAGAAGAACAGGCTGCGTGATATAAACAAACAACAAATAGCGTCTGGGTTCCATTTTCACTCTCTCTCGTCGATCGAAAACATGTAAACATAAAAAAGAAACTCTTGCGTCCGGGTGAGATGAAAATGAAAAGATGAACCGTCTGCGTGTGCCTTCTTAATCGTTTGTTTTGGTCCCTCACTTCCGCTTTGCTTCTCATGCACTGACTCGCTAAGCTGAACAGCCAATCAGAGTGATTTCTTTGTCCCGACTTTCTTTGGCCTCCCGCGGCCGATTCAACATGTGTGAAAATGTGCTGTAAAGAGACGACGGTGCGGGACACACCAACTTGAGTAGGGCGCCGCGAATGCCCCCCAAAATCGGGTTGTGTGTCAGGGGCTTAAGGGAAACAGAGACAACTGAACATAGTCAGGGTCACAATATTTCTTTGTTGACCTGAATCACGTTACTATTTATTAATATATAGAGTGAACTAATCTGTCAAACTAGTTTTGCCAGAACAGTAGGGTGACTAAAAATAGCATTGGGATAGTTGTATGTGTGTTGTATTTGATATTTATTTATTTAATAAGTTTAATGTTATAAGTGTTTAAGTTATAAGTGTTAACTTTTTCCTACTCCTTTCCACACATTTAATATTTACAGTCTTTGTTATAATATTGTTTAAGAAAACGTGCATTATGTTACTTAGAGTTTGCTATACGTTTACTGTTTGACTTATATGTTGCATGTTTTAAATAAAAGAATGTAAAACTAACAAAGCGGAATTAGCTAGTGAGCAGATCTATCACAGGTTTCGTTTGATAAGAGCCTTAATATCAACAGCTAACCACAGAGCAGAGAGTCACTAGCAGAGATACAGAAGGCAGCAGGTGAACCAGCGCAACTGGATTTAGATCCAGTTTGGCAACAAATTCAAACGCAGGCCCACCCCAACCCATGCAAAATGACCAACATGGTTCCCATTTGATTTGTTTGCAAGCTGTTGGGTAAAGGGTATTGCTATTGTTTAGCTGCGTATTTTAATGATCTTTTAATTTGTTTGGGCTCAATACGACTGCACAACGCACAGACATCCAATTTGAGTGACAGGGACTGAATTGTCCTCTGGTCTAAACAATCACAAACACTGTAATCTATTTTTGGACAAATGTGCAGACAAACTTTTCAAAGTGACGAATCCACCATTGCCTAATACAACTGTAAGGTCAGAAGAGTTTCAGGAACGCTCGAGTGTCCTGCCCTTGCTTTAGGTTTCAGCAACCCCAGGAATTCATTCCTCCTCTCTCTGCGTCTCCCTCCCTTCTCTCTCTCTTACCAGCGGAAAGAGCCCTCCACAAGATTATGGAGCTCAAGGGAAATGACAGTCATTAAAGTTAGATTATACTCTTAAACTGTAGAAGCAGTGAGGATGTTAATAAGACACGCCAACATAAACCCAGCGTGGCCTTCCTATATACAGACACATTTACTGAGTGTGTCTAGCTGTCTCTCTTTCACGAGCTCCTGTATTTAATGTCAGTGCCGTTTCACCCATTTGAGGGAAACTAGATCTTTGGACATGATGTCTTCTCTTCTGTGATTAAATAACTTTGCTCCCCTGTGGAGCTTCTGGCTGCGGCTTATACACACACACAGCTGAGCAGGTTGGCTATGGCTGAAACAGTGTCCCCCGATTAACACAACAAGGAAATGTACATTAAAAGTGTTGACATGTTCCACTGAAAGAGGACTCAGCCTCGGAGTGTGTTTGTGTTGTATGATTGAGTCCTAAAATAGAGGTGGTATGCAGGAGGGGTTTGCATACATGTAACCATATAGTCTTAACTCATTACAACAGCCCTGCTGCTGACCCAGGGTCCGGTGCAGCTGTTGTCCCAAAGCTGTACTATGAACATAGTGAATGTCATCGATTGAGCCCACTCACCCCGCCACAAACACTGGCCTTAAAAATCAAAGCTTTCAGCATGTGGAGCACTATCTGTGATGGATTATTGATTGGAATGGGCAAGGGGCGCATTAGAAAAAATTTGTTTTTTTTAAGTTATGAAAATGACAAGCACTCCGGGAGCGAAAATCTTCTCCAACACTAATGAATACCGAGTGTTCTTTGTGCAAATCTGCACGCTGCAACAGATGGAGAAGGGCTAATCTCTTTTTCTGTCAGAGAAACACCCAAGTACGCTTTCCTCCTCTCAAGCACACAGTCTGAGCGTTGCAACAACTCGACACATCAGCAAATCGTGGTCAAGCGGAGATATGGGTCATAGACATAACAAAACTGATTAATGTTGCATTATGACCCAGAACTAAGCACTACTACAATGTATTGTAATCATTCTTGCCTTACTCTTACAAAGAAGCGGGAGTACATCAGTTGACTTTAATAGAGCATGAGGCAACTGGGCTGTACAAAACGCTGAACTGAATATTACCTCGGAGAGTTTGACAGAAAATACAAAGGAAGAAGGACAAGGCTAAAGAGAAAACTAGGACTAACCTATGCACAAGCAACACTGATGGGAGGATTACATGAGATAGTGAAAGGGGAGGGAGGGGGGAGAATGTGGATTGTTGATTTTGTTTGTGGGTCACATTTTCAAGCCCAATAAATCTTAACAATATATCACACCAGCCTTTTTTCCCCCCTCTGCTGGTGTGGGGGGCGGTGAAGTATCATTGTTTGTGTGTGTGCATTTTCTGCCAAAGGGGCTTTTCAGAGGCAAACAAAGCTTACAGATACCCCACCAGGACAATTAGGGAAAATGCATTACTTAATGTCCTAAGGACTGGTGTTGTCTGACCACTAAATGTACTCAAAGAAGTCAACCAAAAAAATGAACAAACATATATTTACTTATCAGCAATAAAAAGTCATTTATATTTAACTACATGTAAAGTCTATGGAAATCTATGACCTACATTCTATCAATAAAAAGGGACTGATATAACTCTGAATATGCACAGCTACACTGCATTACACATTCTTTTTTAGAAAGACTTTTCTCTTAGCTTATGCAAATGGGGACATACAGTATGCTCTGTGCTTTGGTAAATGTACTTCCAATGAACTGTAAAATGCACATTAAAACTACAAAAGTTCCCAAGACTGGTAACTGCTGTTGGTCACATTAACTTTGGCTAGAGACACAAAATGGCCTCTTCACTTCAACTGATCTGACACGGTCATGCAAAAATTGTACTCTGTAACATCACTTTTCCCCTCGGGCAGTGAATCAATATTGATCACACGTTACTCTCTTGAAGGCTATTAACACGTGACTGAATTACACAGGTTGGAGGTAGCAGATAAGACCAGCGATAAGCCTGCAAATCAAGACTAAAGGGAGAAGGAGGAGGGTTGTAAATGTGATGAATGGGGAATACATCTCAGAGGAACAGGATGTCTGGAGACAGAGTGTGCTCCGGCACAGGAAATACAGATTTGTGCATATACGTATGTGTGTTTGGGTGTGTGCACTTACTGTGTGTTTGGGCATGGGGGGCAGCCCAGACGGACTGTTTGTATCTGCGTCGTCTTTAAGGATGTGGTCTGTCCTCATGTACGAGTCATAGAGACCATCCCCATGGCGTGCTGAAGGAACAGAGCGGAACAAATAAGTCAGCGTGATAATGCGGAATCATCAGATCTGCGACAGAGATGCACTCAGGGATAAAGGCTGACGTTCAGAGGCGATGTCTATGGAAAACCATCTAATCTCCCTTGCTTGTTTAAACCAAGCAAAGTCCCATTGATTGGTTTAAGCAACCTACCAGTACTGACTACTTTGAGCCTGAAACAATTGATTTTGTAACAAATCCAGTGAACTACTCAGCAGGAGAGCCCCACACTGCTCCTCTCTGCAGACCAGCGGAGCACATTGTCTGCCACAAAAACTAAACCCACATTTTCGGTGATAAGCGGCCATTATTCGCAAATACATCCATTGTATCTATTGTGTCAAATACATTGTATCCAAAGCCAGAGCTCCGACCTGACCAGCTTAGATAGGGCTTATGGTCCGAGATCGCTAGCGCTGCAAGTGGTATTATTGGCCTAATGGCAGTAACAGATGCCTCTGTGACGACAGCATCTTTCCGTCTGTCCATCTGTCCATTCAGACCAAGTCATGTATTGCACACACCAGGTGTGCTCAGAAATAGAGCCCTATGGATGGATGCTGGTGCTTGTCATTCAATAGTGTGTTCGCTCACCTCTGTGGCACTGAGCCAAACACCTTTATGTGAGATGACAGAGTAGATGGAGGAGGGGGGTGAGGACTGTAGGAGGAAGCCAGGTACTCAAATGACAAACCTCCACCAGCCGGCTGTTCATCATCTCAACAGTCCTGTAGTCCACACTGCAAAAGACATAACAACCTCTAATGGCTTGAAATAAGGATAAGCAGCCTGTTAGCCTAAGCCAATTATAGAGCTATTGTGTTTGGTTAGCTCATTAACAAACAGACCGAAACTGTTGCGGATTTGAATATTTCTCTAGCCCTTGAGAGTGTTGTAACCATGTGCAGGTGCGTCAAAGCCTGTGTCCCTTGCGTGAGCTCACAAACAGGACAGTTTATACCTGCTGCCTGGAAACAGACGCATTAGACCTGCACAGCACAGTAAACAGGGGCATTAGGGCTCCACGCACAATATAAGGCAAGAACAGGCCTCATTAGCCCTTTGCCTACTGCTTATTACCCAGTGGGGGTCTGCACTTTCTGTAAAGCATCTGACTTTGTTTTCCAACTAAACTTTCTCAGGGGGGGGGGCACACACACAGAGCCCAAACGTCTATAACCCCTAACATCTAGTCTACTACTGCAGCTGGCTCTACACATTGTGAAATAAACCCTCTGCACAGCAAAGGCTAGAGAACAAGGTTCGAGCAAAGAGACCTACTGCAGATCATGTGTCATATAACGTGGTGTGGAGGGGTTAAGTCATAGCTTTTTGTCTCCTCCTCTTCCTTGTGTCCTGGACAAAGTGTCTCTTTGCAGACAATGCGTCCAATGTACACTATCTGGAAAGCAATGTCACAAAGTGTTCTAACTTTTTCTAGATTGCTAACTTAAACATTGCCAAAAGCCTAAACACACCACAGAAAGATTAGGCAAGTGCCCATAAGTCTACATATTAAACAATAACAACTATGACGGCCATGGAACAAATTCCGAAACAGTTGTTTAAAAGTATCAAGGCTTATCAAACACTGATAACAAAATAAATGGCTTACGAACAAGGTGTAAAAACAACGCGGAGCTTCCTGGGCTGTCTTCCAAAACATTCACAGACAGAAGTCTCGTTATCGATATCAAAGCAAAAGAAAACATGTTTACAACCGAAGACTTGTGAAAGGCCCTCAACATCTGTCCGTTCTCTGCACACCCAGACACGACGTGCCATTTAAACCCAGTCAAAGGTTTTTTTCAAAAGTGAATTAAAGCCATTTCAGGAACATTACATTATTGTAAATAGTTACTTTAGAAAGTGTCGCCACGCCATGCTGGCAGCTAGTCTTTGTTCCACATTAACGCCGAATCTGCATTAAACAACAATTAAGAAACAAAACACATTTTAAGTACTGCAATCTGTTTGTTGTAGTTACCTGTTGCTATTGGACCCTCTGGTTTCCTGCTTATTATCATCATGATTGCAATTAAAATGTGATGCCAGCATCCGAAGCGAAGAAAAAATTCCGAATAAAAAAAGAGAAAAACAAAGATTCACGAAGCAAACTTTTCTAACAGCGAGTGTTACTCTGCTTCACTGGAGTGTTTGCTAGCACCTTATCAGAACCAACTCAAGTTATTCTTTTCTTTGGGATTAGCTAGCTGTTTTCTTGGCTCTAAATGTAATTTATCATTGTTTGATTAAACCACAGAGTTTTGTCTTCAGCGTGCTGGCTAACATTAGCTACAGTTGGAAAAACCTAAGCAGGCGGTGGGGGTCGTTTTCCTTCAGCTAGCTAGCCCGCTAGCTCGCACTGCTACAAAAACACTCGTCCGCCGGAGAACCGCTCCCTCTGGTAAAAATAGTTTTGAGTCCAAATATTGCAGCTCGGTGGTCTGACCCGTGTGCCCCTCGCCTTTCTCTGTCGGTACAAGGAGTCAATACAGAGCACCATTCCCGTGCTTATTCCCGGTTAGCTGACTTTGTAGTGAGCTAGCTGCGGAGCTACCACTCGGTGAACCCCCACGATTTTGTCCTCCTTCGGGACAGCTTGGGGCCGCTCGTCTTCTAGGGATGGCTAGCCAGAGTAGGCTAGCTGTACTCTAAGCCCCATGTTAACCGCAAACACACCCGGAGCATCACCTTCGCAGAATCACCTGTACTCAGTGCAATAAAGCAGCGATGTTTAATCCTTCTTCTCCGCGGTAGGAGTATCTTATTCGACGCAGCTGTGTGTTGTTGCTAAGGGCGTCTTCAGTGCGCCCGGAGTCAGCAGGCAGACAGAGGGAGGAGCGGGGCGGGGCTTAGTGAGCCCCACAGCCGGCAGGAGGGCGCCCCGCAGCGGACTCCTGGTGCTCTGCACACCGCCCAATGCGAGAGTGTTTCAGAAATACTGTGTTACTGTACATTTGCTCTTTTAAAATACTGTCCACTCGGTGGTACAAACATGGGCGGTTCTGGAGTGGGGAAGAATAGGAAAAATGTGTCTATGTTAAACCATTTGGGATTAGTGTTGCACTGATGGTTGTGCTCTGTAACTTGAGCTAAGAAGTGTTTTGTTTTTAAATTGCAATTTAATAAAAAATTAAACCAAGTTATGAACACAAATGCTGTAACTGAAAAAAATACCAATCATGTGTTTGCATGGGTTTTTATGTGCACTTTCATTTTTAAGCTGAACTATAAATGTCTATTTCGTCCCACATTAACTATGCCTCTCTCATAAAATAACTGGCCCCAGCATTGCCCCCCCCCCAGTACAAATTGACCTAGAACTGCAACCGAGAACAATGGGTTAATTGATATAGTAGTTATCCAAGTCAAAACATCAATGCATTAATAAAACATCTTTAACGTTGATAAATGTATAGTGAATAAAGGATAAAGTCATAAATCAGTTATAAATCTTAAAAAGTCATTATTATTTATAAACATATTCAAAGAAGTGTGTGTAAACCTTAATAATTTGTTTAGACACTAATTTTGGTCCAACCTGAATATCACTTTCACAAAAGGTCAGAGGTCAAATAATACATGAAAGATAAACCTAAAAACACAAATAGAATATAAAAGGTTGTGCTTGATAATGGCTAATAACTGCTTTTTAAACCATTAGCAAATGTTTAGTAAACTTATTAATTAACCCTCTACAAAGTGTGACCTTTTGTATGAATTAAAATGTACCAGAAGTTTTTACAGATGCATGTTTGACAGTCAGGGGCGAGTAGAGTAGAGTTGCTCTTTTCATCAATCTTCTATCAAAAGAAAAGTAGGTTCTGGAACTTATGACATTAGGGAAGTGACTGATGCTCTATGGAGTCTCGGTCAGACAACATAGGGAATTGTAAGACGTCAGCTTGGCCACTGTGATGGGTATTTTATTATCCAAATAACATGTTGATAAACAATGAACAGATGCATTGCATTGACAAACCAGTAGTTGCAGACCAAGGGCTCTGAAGACCTTTCCTCAGGTCCACAGTGCATCTGGCCATGGAAAGCTGAACCATGGACTGAAACTGGAGAAGTCATGGAGATCCATACAGAGCTCGATATAGCAAGAGGCAGGGCAGAGGACAGACGGAGTGAGACTGGGCCGGCATGAGAAGGGGAACAGGCTAAATTCAGACAGTGATACATGTTTGGCAGAGGGTGATGCTAATCTTAGCTCTTTCTCAGAGGTGAGAAGAGGGGTCTGTCTATATTTGCTGCCATAAATAAGCATACTGACACAGTTTTAGGTGGCCCTCTGGGCAGCAGCCAACCCTTAAGGCCAGCTTGGCCGTGCTGATTATTCTTGGACGGTGGTGTATAAGAGAGTAGGGTGACAATGCCTATAAATTGATCTGCTTATTGCACTTTCCTCTTAAAGGGTTCAAGGTGTAAGTTTGTAAATGAAGAGGCACTCTAATCACAGCTGGTGAATTTACAACCCCAGCAAGAGATGGGACCAGGTGCAAAGCTACCTATAGGTCCTTGTGGGGGTTGTGGGTGGCTGTATTTGGTCTCAGAGCCTGTGACAGACACTGACACCTGCAGGTTTATTGGTCTAACACCTTTTGAATGCCCTTTGAATGAAAACAGACCATATCAGGGAAAGTATTGTTTAAAAGTGTCACAAGAACACCTGAAGGTTTTATCATATCAAGCATATCATAACACATGCAAACCAGATCACACTTTATACACACTGCCTGACAGTTTACATTTTGCATGTTAAGATAGTACCTGCAGTGTAGAGGAGGTACTGCCACCTGTTGGTGATTACAACGCAATACAGCTGGCTTCGGGTGAAGAAAACTAGATGAAAAGCTCAGCACTTTCTACTTGGGGCATGTCTGGACATCACATTTGGCTAAAAGAGATGAACCACCTCACAATGTATTTAGTGTCCCTCTTATGAGATGTGAAATCAATCAGTATATACAATCCTCAGGCACTTATTTATTAAATATGCTGTCTACAATATGAACATGATATGCACATGATTTAAGAAAAAACATCAAATTCTTGATCCCTTTTCTAGAACTTTCACTCCATTGGTTGGTCGGAATTCAGTTATATGTATCTCATTGAAACAGATCAGCTTGAAAAAGGGGACAAAGTGGGAGTTCTCTTTGTTTTTGTTGTAACCCAACCCTGTACTTAAGAACTATGAGAAATGCATTTGCAATTCAAAAAACTAAGTTGTAACTCTCCTGGATTCATTCTAGAATTACACCCTGTAGTTCAACACTTTTCCAAATGTTTTTACGTGATGTGATAAAGGTATACATTATTCGATTTTTCTTCAAGTAAGGGTTGAAGACCCATTCACAGGAAACCATTTTGGGCCTCATGATGTAGAGACAGACTTAACATGCAAAAGAGTATGTTTTAAACTTTGCATGTCCTTCAGTGAAACCACACGGAAGCCAGAGAAATTAGGATATGAGAACATTTCCATAAAGGGATGACCTTTTTATTTCATTGTGATATTCTGTACAGTTCTACTGCTATATTTAAACACACTTCTTCAAATAAAACAAAAATAAATTGCAAAAAAAGCATTAAGTCTCAACATCCCTTGACACAATATCATATGGATGAGGTGGACCATGAAATAAATAACTCGCGCCACACAGAGGGTTTTGGTTGGAAAGACAAATGTGTTAAGGGAAGGGAAAGAAAATAAATGTGATACACCACCCAAGAAACAGATTTGCACACATGCAAAAGCACCCACACAAACACAGGCACCTGTGTGCTGAAACACACCTTACATAGATCCACAGGGGGCACGTGAAACAAAAGGCACTGCCAGCAGGAACAGCTTGGGCTTTGGGTGGTGGCTTTAAAAAAAAAGAAGACAGGTCTACTGAGAAACATGTGCTTATGGACAACGAGCCTCATTTATCAATGATTTTATGGTATTAAATAACAAAAATGTTTGTCTGTGAAATGTTTATAGTAAATAAGCTTTGGTTTAATGTATTCAATTTATGATACATGCACGCCAAATATTTGTATCATTTTTACATCACATGTGTACTTGATAAGTGAGGCCCAATGAGGAAGCAATGGTGACACAAAGACACTCATTATAAGACATAATTCACATTATCCTCACTGCCCAAGATGAACACACACACACACACACACACACACACACACACACACACACACACACACACACACACACACACACACACACACACACACACACACACACACACACACACACACACACACACACACACACACACACACACACACACACACACACACACACACACACACACACACACACACACACACACACACACACACACCAGTAGGAATGATACCAAAAGAATATCAATATTTACCGTAATAGCAACAAAGTTAAACCTTCTCACTCTTTTTCCAGTGTCTACATTATACATATGCATTGCAAACACGTCATTGGTACATCATAGCCTTTATCTTGAACTCTACTTATTTTTTGTTTCCTTTTTTGAGTAGATGTTAGGGGGGTAAAAAGAAAAGAGAAGCAGAAATGCATGCCCAGCCCTAGAGTCATGAGCTCTTCAGTGACTGCATCTAAATGTGCAAAAACAGAAGCTGGTTTAATCTTTTTACATACACCACCTTTAAATTAAATACACTTCTGAATGTCTCTCTTCCCTTTAACATCCTCTCGATACATGTCTCCCTCTAAACTTTGGTGTAAAATAAATCCTCTCTCATTCAAATGCAACCCATAAATGAACAGTCTAAAATCACTTTTACAATAAAGTGTAAAATCTGTAACGGTTTGTGGATTTCCTCGCTCAGCGTTCATGCAGGGGTCAGGATTTAGAAAGGGAAAATGATATCACAGTTATCATCTGGGAAGAGTTGGGGCTTGTGCGTGAGGAGGGGATTGCTAACTAGGTTGGATTAATTTCTGATTCTGTTTAAGAAGTACAAATAAACTGATCAAAGATCATTTTAATAATGAGATTTGGACAAAGTGGGATAAAGTGTGATGTTATAGGGTTGAATTCTGTTTCTTTCCGTCTTAAGGTTTTCTCTTTGCTCAACGCATGCTCCCTGAGAAAAATCAAAGAATGATCTCGCCTTCTTATAACGTTCTATTCCTTCTTGTTCTCGCATCCAAACTCTTATACCAAACAACTCCCTCACACGTCTTGTACTCCAGCACAAAAATATACACCTGATGATAACCCTATACATCAATTCCAATTCAATAAAAAGAAGACACAGTATGATTGTCCTTCCATCAAAAGAAACATGCCTTCTGTGTGCAGGGGGATGAGCTGAGAGAGACTCATGCATAAGTAACACTTGCAGTAGCAGCAGCAGCAGCAGCAGTAGCAGAACAAGAGGGAACCTTTTAAAAACACCACTGATTCATAATACGCCCCAAATGAGGTCTCAAGCTAGAGTTTTAGATGTTGAGTTGATGGGATCTTTCTATGTGTGTGTCCTTGGCAACACTGCTTGTCCAATCAGAAAATGGACCACACAACCTGTTGCCTTGCACTTTGCTTTCCACCCATGATGTGTAGGTGGTGGGGGGGCTTGAATGCGTCCTGAGAAAGGGTATGCATCAGTTTGTGGATGTACTGTATGTTTGGGTGCATGGGTTGGAGGGTGAGGACAAGTTCAGCTCCGGCTCCAGTCTGGGAATAGATCAGGGGTCTTGAGGGGGGGGGGGGGGGTTCAGAGGGTCAGTCTCTCCCTGGATTGAGGTCGTAAGGTAGCAGGTGAAGGGGTCAGGGGTCATGTTGTTGTAGGGCTCGTTGTAGTTTCTGTCGGTAAGCGGTGTATTTTTGCTCCACTGTCCGGACGCGCTCCGCCTCCTCGTTCCCCAGGATCACCAGGAAGTTTTGAAGCTCAGGGACAGAGAACGCATACCACTGTCAGAGAATAACAGAAACAGATTAATACACCATGGCAGCACGTTTTTACTCATAGCCTTCTATGATTCTCAATCAAAAAGTAAAATGTATTCCCTCTATAATTCCCCTTAATGTTACAAAATAAAACAATTGTGAGAAACAATACAAAGCGCAGAAGTGTCTGCCTCGAGACCAAGAGTGTGTGTATGTACCACTTATTTGGAGCAGTGAAATAAATGTATTATTTTGAGGATCATAATTGAACGAAAGGGAAGGATTCAGCCCTTAAGGGTCCATTTCTTTTCTTGTATATTTGTGTAGGTATGTTCAGATGTATGTTTGTATGTATACTGTGTGTATCCCACTGATGTTATCTTGTGTGTGTGTGTTTTTTCTCACCTCCACCTCTCCAGTCTCATTTTCTTTAAGGACAAAGCTGAGCTGCTCTGGGTCGGGTCCTGTTATCAGCCTCAGGAGAAGAGGACGCTCATACAGAGGAAGCTTCTGGAGCAGATCTGAACGGGACAGAAACATATCATTTATTGTTGTCATTTACACGTGTTTCCTGCAAATGAGAAATTGAAGCTTTGTATACGAACAATGTAATTCTTACGAAGCTCTTTTTATGTTTGTACAAAAATTACACTTCCGATCATGGACCAACACCCCTTTTACTTGTATATGTGTCATATTTCCCCTTTTTTATTCTAAAACTTAAAATGTGTATGAAATAGTATGGACCTTTTGCTCCAAGTATTATAATTCTTTAAAATGTTCTTATGTGAAGTGTTTTCCAGATATTTTTGTATCCATCTTTTTGCACATTATAATTGTATCATGCCTGATATTAAGTGTTAAATGCATTAGGTGCATTAACTGTCTTCAAGGCTAAAGGTACTCTATTTACAAACACATTTCATTCAGAGGGTACAGTATGTTCGAAATATTACATTTACAGAAAAAGTAAAGGGATATGGCGCCACCTTGTGTAATGTTAAAGGTGGGGTAGGTAAGTTTGAGAAACCGGCTCGAGATACACTTTTTGTTATATTCCATGGAATGCTCTTAACATCCCGATAGCAATGAATATCTTAAGTGCTTTGACAAAAAATCCATAAAAAAATGTCATCTGTGGAAGCCGTAATACTGTAAAAAGCACGACCAATCATTTTAGCCGGCCCGGCTAAAATAACTGGATGGCCTACCTGCCTGTCAGCCTTCCATCTGGTCACAAACTTATCTCGTGCCCTCATTGGTCATGTGCGCGTTCGTGTGTGTTGGAGGAGGGGCTCTGTAAGGAAGTGGCAGATTTTCTCCGGTTGTGTATTTTCAAATTCTAGCGATCTCGAGCCGGTTTCTCAAACTTACCTACCCCACCTTTAATATTCAGATTTGTTATCATTACCAGTAAATTAAAGTTGTTTAACCTTTCACCCAAATGAAACTATATTGATTGAATTATAATTAGATCCAAGTGTAATTCCTGTGATTCTTTTGCAGAATGACATAGCATCTCCCGCCCACTGAATAAAGAATGATGAACCGCTCTCGGAAAAGAACAGAGCCATAAAAAAACAGCTCCATTCACAGAGATGTAATCCCCATCACTGTAATGAGTTAGCATCCACCAGTGTTCTCTCCTCACCCTGTCCGTCGCGGTGCGTCTGCCTGTACAGTGCAAACTTGCGGGGATTATCCAGCACCATGAACTTCTTCAGCAGGCCCTGGATGACCTCGCTGACGGTGGTCAGAGAGCAGATGTGGATCTGCTTCACACAGTCGCTCGGTAGGTAGAAGGATGTTCTCTTTTCGCTCTGCCCACAGTCCGACACATCCTGGCCCTCTGACGGTTGAGTGCGGCCCCCCGCCTGCCTGGACGCCCCCTCCGAGTCCCCCGCCTCTACAGCGGGGACTGTGACCGGTCGACTGAGCCTCAGGTTGACCTTAATGAAGCCTGTGTAGGATCCGTCTGAAGCCTGCAACGCACAGAGAGGAAGAGGAAGACATGAGAGAGTGGAGGCACAATTTAGTGTTGAAATGTGCACTGATAATCAAGACTGGAAACAATTGTATGTGGTTCTTTTAAACATTTTGGGAAATACAGTTATTCGTTTTTTTAAGGTCTAAACCGATCTCATGCCTGTACTAGTTTAACATAAAGACTGGGCTGGAGGAAGAAAGCTAATCTGGATCCGTTTAATCCAACACATTTTACAAATATGATATATGGTGTTGACTCATGAGTTTTGAGGGGCTGGTGGGATAATTAAGCACGAGTCTTCTCCTCTCACTCTTGGCAAATAAGCAAATGTACCATACACTCTATGTATGAAGACAACGTGACATCACCTGTTGGTTTGAGGAATATAGTTTTGAAGCATTGGGTTTGGTATTTTGGCCATTGCTATCTTGGTTATTTGGAAACAGATGTGACACTAGAGGGTGGAGCTAAATACACCAAAGCTTAACATTATTAGGCCACTAAAACAATACAATAATCATCTTTTGTGAACTGAAATCAATATGTCATTGTTGGGCCCTGTCAATCACAAGTTATCCCTGCTTTTTTAGTGTATTTTAATCGAAATGGGCCAACAATTTACAAAATGGACACCATGCTGTAGTAAAGAAGACTCAAAACTAGTGATTAACTACATAAAGTTACGTTCACAATGTTTATACGGTTAATAAATCAAGTAAAAGCTTTATTTTCTCATAGAATTCACACAGCATTTAGATGTATCTCCTCTTGTGTTTAAAAGTTTCCCTTACGCTTGAATAACATTATGGCCCAGCTCAGTTTCCTGTTTCTATTCATCAGATGAAAGAGAGGAAGTTATAATAATCTAGTTTCATTGTTAGTTTGACCTTATACAGTACGGTGCATTCACCATCTACAACAAGTGCTGAGAACTTACCAGATTCATGCCATTTTCAGAGACTTGAGCATTATACTCCTTTATCCTTTTCGACACCTCCTCTTCTGATAGGTCCTTTGTTCCTCTCGTCTCTTCCTCCTTTGCTTCCTTCTGCTGTGAGGCAAAGAGAGAAATGTCAATATACAAATATTGATTCGTTCTTATTTCTTTAAACCAGCAGATGGTGCTGCTTCATTAACAAGTCTATGAACACATTCTCCATCTAGCCTTGCTCAAGTTGATGAATACATATTGGAAAACACCAGAATCAAGAGAAACCATCCCATCCTACAAGCCTTTCAGGCAGAAAATGTGTCATATGTTGTTGAATAAACCAAATCTAGCCCTGTTCCTGCACTACTTGTGGGAAAACACCTCCTTCTCATGTCCTCCATCTTTATCAGCTGCTTCTGTGACTGACGCTGATGGGTGACACTATCTCTTCCTCCTCAGTGTGGTTGCACAACTCTGCAGCTCTCCATGGGGACAGGAAATGTGAATGGAGCACATCTCGCATTCAGCATCACAGCAGGAGAATATTGAGAGCACAGCATCCCCCTTACTCATTTCCCTGTGACTAGGAATGAAAAAAGGAGAGCGAAAGACAGAAAGGGAGGGAGGAAAGAAGCTATGAAAGATGGGAGCACCCTCCCAGCAGGCAGAGAAAGAAAGGGGTGAGGACTGATGAAAGAGCGGCTACTGAGCCAGCCTTAGCAACACAGAGTTTGACTGGGTTATTTATAGTACAGAGGGATGCATCCTCTATCTCATAATTGTACTTTTTTTCCCTTCTCTTGTACGTTTGCATTTTCTGGGCCAGAGAGAGTGAGAGACAGAGTGTGTTTGAGAGAGAGAATGCAGGGCAGCAATCTGTAGGGGAGTCCTCGGGTTGTGATGAAGTCACTGTTTCCTTCAACACAGATACAGTGTGTAAGTGCATGAGTGTGTCTCTGTGAGTGCACACCTTGTGGTAATAAATAACACACAAACAACACGAGTGTAACTGAGCTCATCCTTGCAGACATTCAGCATAAGAGGTGAAAGAAATGTAACGTGTGTGTGTGTGTGTGTGTGTGTGTGTGTGTGTGTGTGTGTGTGTGTGTGTGTGTGTGTGTGTGTGTGTGTGTGTGTGTGTGTGTGTGTGTGTGAATAGGAACAGTGAGAACATAGATTTTTGTTGCTGCTGTTATCTCTTACACATTATTATCAGCCTCTCCTCTGTCATCATGGTCCTTCTATCATAGTAATTGTCCGTGTTGCGATGAAACAACAGAGCTATTATGCTCACAGCATGTCACAAATGCAAAGATTACAACCGGTATCAGTTCGGACACAAACACATCAAAATGCATATAAGAATTTACACTCTGACCAGTTAACACTGGTTTTGTATCTCTGCATCATGAATATATAAATACAAATAATAAAAACCCACACAACTCTGGTGGTAAAATCGAGGCTGAAAATAATAATCCGAGGGGATATAGAGGAGTTGACTTGTTGACTTGACTTGGCAAACAATTTTTAATGACAGTAGTCAAATGTTTTCTCTTAACTGAAAGAATAGGAAAACAAAATGTTCGTTTTACCCCCCAAAAAATCAGCCTCTGGTAAAGTGTCCACTGAGTATTCGGTAATTATCTGATGATAACAATATTACAGGTGACAGCACAGGACCAGGCCAGTTAATCCAGTTTAATGATATATGTTAAGATAGATAGATGCAAAGCAGCTTAAGTGTGTAAGATATCTAGGACTGTTACATAAGGGTCACACACACTCCCACACACACACATACACATGCCATGCAGACACACACACCCCTCAGGAAGACATGAGTAAGTGTTGATGCTGTCACTCTGATGAGATCAGACAAGAGAGGTCATGACTCGCTGAAATGTCGCTGCAAATAGTCAGCATTAAACCGTGTGCTGAACCCTGCTGTGTGTCTGCAGGCTTTTTGTTAACCTGACCAAACTCTTGACTGCAAAACCTCCAAGTGTGTGTTAGTGTGTGTGTCTGCAGGGTTGACATCATGATCTTCAGGTAAGACTAAACTCTAGGATCTGTTACAACTGGCCAAGATTGAGGACATGGAAAACACTCACATACAACACACACACATGTATGTTCACATATACACACACACTTCAGCAAAAGTGAAAATGCTCTGACACTATGCTTATTTAAAAACGAGTATAGTACCATACACTATATATTATATAAACAACATATTGTTTCTTTAAATCGTCATTGTGCAAGTCAACTTGTGCTATTAACACATTGTGAAAGACTATTACATTACACTCAGCTATAGTTTTTTTTGTAAGTTGAAATTGAGCATCAGTAGAAAGCAGCATTTTCTTTCATTGGTGCAATTAGTTGTATCTAGGCAGAATTCTGAAAGCAGCAAGAAGGCAGAACTGAACCTTCGTACCTGATTATATATCGCCAGGGATATTGTTACATGATATCATGCAATCCTTTGATGCTTTTTCGTGTCCTTATGGTGCTAATGCAAGTACTTTTCAAAGCATTGTAATGTGAAGTTATGCAAAAATATTTAAAAGTTTAACATCTAAAAACATAAAAAATTTCCCTCTGAAATGTTGTTGAGTGTAGGAGTCGTTGTAGCAACAACACTCTACACGTGATGTGTGCAATAAAATACATTCTGCAGAGGTGTACATGTAAATGTGTATGTGTGTGTATCTGCTTTTTATATAACAGTGATATAACTCATTCATTCACATTCACTACATTAAAAAGGACAAACTGAACAGGCCCCCTGCTTATCACTCCACCACACACACACACACACACACACACACACACACACACACACACACACACACACACACACACACACACACACACACACACACACACACACACACACACACACACACACACACACACACACACACACACACACACACACACACACACACACACACACATTACAGCTGGCTGGCTAAACTGGAGCAAAAGGCTCAGCTCTGGAAATAATTCATAAAGAAAAGAAGGTCTGAGCTCCCCTTCCGCTGTTTTGATGAACGTAAGGATCTCCCTGAGCATGCATGGAGGACGACTTAACACAGTGACACATTTAGAATTATTTAAAAACAAAATATATGATTATGTCTATTATGTTATTCCACTCTGATATTTTCATCACTCTTTCATACTCAGACAGAAAAATGACACTTTCGCTGCATGTCTACTTTGAATGCTCTACCAGTGGATGCATTCAAGAACCAGCCCCTCCTATGTTATTTCTCTTACTGTACTGGTATAGCTACTAATATGTCCAATCATTTGTCTTTGGTTGCGTGTTGCCGTAGAAATCAGGCACCATCAGCTGGCAGCTTCTGTGCCGGCAGCCTAGACAAGCTAACCCCAATACCCTCGTGGCAGCAACCCTAACTCCTCATGCTGACAACACAGCTGGTCAATTATTCAGGGATTATACCTTCTCCAAGTCAGACACCAAAGGCACCGCCAGGACGAGGACAGCAGGAAGAGGGCTGAGCGTGTTTTACATTAATGCAAATGTCTGTGTAGTTTAAAGAATTTGTATCTCCAGGGTTGTTCTTGCATCCAGGAACACTTCTCTATCTGTCACACTTTTCTATCCTTCAAAATATTCACCTGCTGTGCATCCTGGGACCCTGCAGTGTGATTAACACTGTCTGTCCCAGAGTTACAGTATCTGACAGAATGTGTGAGGTAACACAATGTACAGTAGACCAAACACAAGTATCAGGAAGTGTGTGCCAACAAACCCACGAGTTGCTATGGTAACAAGGAAAATGGTTTTTCTACAGTTAAGTAGTTGCCCCTCACAAACACACACAAATACACACACTCACAGATCTAGTGCAAAGGTGCCAGCTTTGTTTCTACGGAAACCTTTCCCACGCAATGTAGAGATAAGGACTCTGGAATCTGTAGGTTAACGTCATTATCTCAGTTTCTCTGTTAAAACACTGCACACATATTGTTTCTGTGACTGATGCTAAATCCTTTAGCCCCTCACATGATAAATGAGCTGCCTAAAGGCATCAAGGCTGCTGAACAAGGCCGGCAGATCAATGGTTCACAACAGAGGTTTGACAGTAACCCCTTCCTACACTCTCACACATCTACAGGCCTGCTTACGAGTGACACACATCACAACTTCCTCTACACACTTCTGCTTTCTGGTAGCATGTTTTTGATATAAATGGCTGTTTGGTTCCCAGCACATCTGAAAAAGCCGTAATCTGAGTTTGTCTCACTCACACAGTTTGATCTATCAGAGTGAGTGCTGCCCTGATTCTGTACCTTAGGTGCATGATTGGGCTTGCGGAAGAACGAGGTCTTGGCTGTGAAGAAAGAGAAGTCTTCACTCTCGTCATCCAGGCTGCAGTACCCGCTGCTCATGCTGTTACTGCTGGTCATTGAGGGGGTCAGCACTGCATTGACAGTCATGGAGAGGTCCAGAGATGGCCCCCGGCACCGGTACAGCACGTTGACAGCTTGAGGAAGTCCTTTTTGATCTCGAAAAAACACAGCAGTGACGTGACACTCAGCCACGATCAGAGTCCACCCGCTTCCAACTGGCCTCTACACATCCAGAAAAAGTCAGTGCTCCTCTGCTGATGCATCCAGGAGAGTTTAAGTCCCGCCTGTGAGGGCGAGACAGGTGAACTCGGCTCAGATTCGGTGCTTTGCGTGCTACCAGAGAGGGGACCAGGAAATCCGAGAGCGAGACTTGTCACTTCCTCCTGACGCGGTTGTGTGTGCTCTGACGCCGGTGTCACAAACAGACCATAGAGTATATGCACCTGGTCATTTGCAGCTGAACATGCTAAAACTCATACAGAGTATGTAACCATCTCTGAAACACACACACATATTTAGGTGTGTGCTGGGGTCATGGAGTCAGCTTACAGGTTGGTTTCAAGTTCTGCTCACCTGAAAGCCCCTGTCATACCAGCAAACCGACGCTAATAGAGGCATGCATGCAATACCACATCCTGCTCTCTTGTGTCTCTGAAAGCACCGGCTGTGAGGAAACAAAGAGAGGTTCAATTCAACTCCGACATTCATGTGCTTGAGCATCCATCCGTCCCCGGTCCGAAGTAAACAGCCGCAGAAGATCTCTTGGCTGCAGCAACAATACGTCCATAGACCCGAGCTACCTCTTCTCGTACGTTGCTTTGGCAATACTACCAAAGAGGCAGATGCCTCCCACTCATCCTCTCTTTTTTTCCTCTCTCGCTCCCTACCTCTCCTCTCTTCTCCTCTCCTTACTCTTTCTGCCCGTCTTTGCTCCCGTTGCTCCCTCACTCTAGCAGCCTCGCTCAACCATTTGTGGTCGAGTGTTATCAGCCAGCATGCACCCTCCCCCTCCTCTCTCTACTCTCTCTCTCTCTCTCTTCCTGCAAGCTACTGCACCCCGCAGAGCATAGCCACTTCCTCTTACAGAGAGAAAGAGGCATGGGTATGTAGAAAGGGAAATGCTGATGAGTGAGAGATATGATGCCTCACAGCTCCTGTTTTGCATACGTTAGAGCAGCAGCGACAGGAGGCAGCAGAGAGGCCGCATGGGGAAGATGGCTGCTTTTCTGGTGACAATCTGCAGCAGGATGCAACGGTTTATTAGAAGCCATCTCAACCCCTCTAAGCATGTGGCTTTTATGATGGACACAGACTTAATTAGGGCAATTGTATGACACCTTGTCCAAACAGGGGACAGATGCTGTCAGGGAACAGAACATAGCTTCCACCGCATGGCTTCTTGGTGGAGGGAAGGGCTCAAGGTGAGATTAAGGAAATAAGGAATGATTGCCCTCAGGATAGAGATTGCGTTGACTTCTAACCTCACACTGACCCTGCAATCTGCCCTCTGACTCTGGCACTGACCCTTTTGTCACAAAGCAGATAAAGCCCCCTGTCATTGCCGAGATTGATGCCGCAACTGTCTGCACCTGCTGTTGTATGATTTTAAAATCTACTCAGGCATGATTAAAGGTAAACCTATATGTTAGTGGAGGGCTGCAGCATGGAGGGGCAGAGTGTCGCCCTTTCATCGGGTGTCTTTCTGTCAGGTTTGAGGCAGCCGAAGACTGATTACCTGCGGCTCTGCGCCTCCCTTCCATCAGTGTAATCACTTAGGGACCAGACAGCATGCAGGGGATGGGACACACACACACACACACATACATACATACATACATGCATACTGAACAACACTGGCTTCAGGTCGATGAAGCCTGGTCAGACTGTAACAGTGTATATGTGCTTATAAGGGGGTAAAAGGGGATCAATTTCTGCTGATGCACACACAAAAAGGGCCTGTATAGATGGAAGGGACATAAAACACAACCACACACACACATAGAGCTGCAGCTATAAAACAGAGCAAGAGGAGAGAAAGAGGAGAAAGAGGACTGCAGGAAATGAACTGTCATATCTCCTCTTGTCTGCAGTACTGGAACACAACACAAGTGCAGAGAGAGAGAGGCCTTAGTCACAGAGTTCACATACCTCCGAGACACAAATCATCAACGCTCACTTAAATCTGACTTTCAGCTCATTATATTTAACCACAGTCATTACACTCGGAAAGAACAAGTGGCAGTTAAGCTAACAAATAAAATACAGAAAGTGTATGCCATAGTTTTGATGCAGTAGATGTGGAATATTGTAAGAAATTGGCAAATTGTGGATAAATGGCCTGAGATGAGAAAGTTACTGACAGTAAAAGACATTTGGTACTCAATTTATCCGCCTGCTTGCTTGCTCCAGTTCTTGCCATTTCCATCAACGTGTTTCAGAGCAGAATTATTGCGTGTATTTGTTCACAGAGTACTACCTGGCACTCTACCAGGGTCTTATTTTGTGTTATCTGCCCCCTAGGCATAGAGTGGCTGCCAACAATCTGCTGAAGGCCTGTGGGGTTATCCAGCTTGTCTCGTGCATGTTATGAGTGTGTATGTTATGAGTGTGTATGTTATGAGTGTATGTGTGTGTGTGTGTGTGTGTGTGTGTGTGTGTGTGTGTGTGTATGAACTTCATTGCGTGGGTGACTGAGGATAGGATGCCAAGAGCAGCATGCACGCTCCCACTCTCTCAGGTTCCTGTACACACACTCATATGCTTACACAAGAGTGGGAAAAAGCCTATTCTGATGATGAATCTTACATCATTGTAATACATAATAACTGTACCATGTGGCTTGTATTGTATGAGAGGGTATGAGAGTATGAAAGAGTTTTAGTTTAAATGCACAATATGTAGTTGTCTGTCGCAATGGGGTCTCTCAATCAAAACATGAAGGAGACAGAGTTTGGGGAGTCATGAAGAAACTTTGGATCATTAGTGTGCAGTCTGCTCTTCCTGGTTAGGAAAACATCATTGTGAGGTTTTTAACTGGAGCCGAATTATCTGCAGAGGTTTCCTCCTCTCCAAAAAAAAAAGATTGGTAAAAAATGGTAATACAATTCTGAATCAAGCAGTTTTGCTTAAAACTTATTTTTTAACCCTGCTGAGAAGACAACTATGTCCCTTGGTGCTGATGGACAAGCTACTGCTAACGTTAGCTTAGCTTGTTTAGCTGATAACTTAACATCCAGACATCCAATGATTAATACCTTTTATCTGGTGAAATTATATAGTTAACATAACTAAGACTATTTTAACTATAAGTGTATCTCAAAACGAGCAAACAACTACAATGCTAAGCAAAGGGAAAACAACGCCATTAAAAGAAGCGAACAAATGACCGACCGTAAGCATGACGGATTTGTCTAGGTTTGAACGTTGTTGGAAACATTTATGATAATGCGAGAGCACAACTCAACAACATGTATTACATACATGTAACCGTTTTAAGACATGTAAGAACTGGAAATGTTACATATTATACCTATAAATAGTGGATGACTAAATATTTACCACATACATAACATCTGAGAATAGATTTAGCAAAACACAGCTATGCCATGTTGGAGGTCCCTGCGGAGAACAGTGATTAACCTAATTAGTTTGCGGTCTTATTAGAGAAGCTGATTGAACAAATCAAACACATTCTAAAAGAATAGGAGAGATCCGAGGAGTCCCAGAGGAGGATAAGGAGGGAGACTATGAGAGCGAGAGAGCAGGTGAAGGGGGGAGGAAGGCACATCAGATGTGACAGAGCAGATTCTGTGCTGGGAACATACTGTGACCGAAAAAGGAAATTAGCGAATATATAAATTCACAAGTAGACAACCGGGGAGGAGAAGGGACAGCATGTTGTGAAAGAGGAGGATGGTTATGTAAGAGTGTAGGCTTGGAGAGATGCTACAGTATGAACTCTGCCATTACTCAATGTTGACTCATGAAGAGTTCAGCACACTACATTTTAAATTAATGTGTTTGCCTTTCTGAGTGCCTCTTAAAATGCCACATATAGGCCGCCTTATCTAGTATGTTTTCTATTTAATTTGAAATGCTCACCCTATACTGAGGGGCAGCGGAGGAGCAGCGTCTTCTGGGAGATGGAGTTTCTTCTTCTCTGTCCTTTCGGTTGCAGTCCAGCTGGACCCGGCTCTCACACTCCAGGTGACAGGTGTAGCTACAGTCTGGGGAACAGAGAAACATGCTGTCAGAGAAAAGAGCACACACAGTAGGAGGAACCAAATAATAATGAATAAAACATTACTAAACATTGACCCAACACTGTGATCAATAAGCCTCTGGAAATTCATGTTGGAGAGTGTAGTGCTCAATTGTCACTTAAGTGAATTTAAAATGAAGTTTTAATCAAACAGGTACAGTCATATAACTTCTCCCTTTACAGAGAATTTGCTCCATCTAGTGGCCAATGCTAGACTCACACATACAAGGCACCAGACTGCAGAGCGACAATGCATCAACAAAACAAACCTAAATACACCTTTGTTTGTAGAGTGAGACCTGCACACACAATACTTAAAGGTGGGGTAGGTAAGTTTGAGAAACCGGCTCTTAACATCCCGATAGCAATGAATATCTTAAGTGCTTTGACAAAAAATCCATAAAAAAATGTCATCTGTGGAAGCCGTAGTACTGTAAAAAGCACGACCAATCATTTTAGCCAGCCCAGCTAAAATAACTGGATGGCCTACCTGCCTGTCAGCCTTCCATCTTTGCACAAACTTATCTCGTGCCCTCATTGGTCATGTGCGCGTTCGTGTGTGTTGGTGGAGGGGCTCTGTAAGGAAGTGTCAGATTTTTTCCGATTGTGTATTTTCAAATTCGAGCGATCTCGAGCCGGTTTCTCCAAAATTACCTACCCCACCTTTAATGTTATAACTTGTATCATTAGCAAAGTAATAACCTTATGATAACAACTCCTTTAAGATCCACTTTTATACCTTCAACAGATGGCAGGAGTAGTCTTCTGGTATATACTCAATATATAATGGATATACTGCACAAAGTCAAGCTAAGAAAATAAAGTAAACAAATACAGAAAGTAGTATAGGCATACTGTATGCAAACAATAGAGCAGCTTTTGAACGGCCAACTCCCATCTTACTGCTAAGCAAGAAAAGAATAGATTTAGGTGCTTCCCCCAAGGTTTCCTGAAATAGTCCACTGCTCTGTTAATCTGTCGCTGGTCCCACATGTGACAGCCTCGGCTTGTTTATGTCTGGCAGACTTTATTGCGGCCAGAGGTTTTCCCACTGAGACGCATAGCCTCACATCTGACTTCTCCGCTGTCGGTGAGATAATCCTTGCTAAAGAAAGAGACATTTTTTAAAAACCACATGAGCAGAGAGCGAGAACAGGGGGGGTTAAACTGTGAGTCAGATCCTTTTTGTGGTCCTCACGCAGGAACGTTCCGTGAATTCAACTCAGGCTATATAGATTTGATAAAAACATTATAATATTTCAACAATGTTCAGTTTTAGAAGCCGAAGCTTGATTATTTTCTTCAGAACAACACATTGTTTTCTGGTGCGCCTCTCCATGGCTGCTGTCAAAGAGCTGAGATCTGCCCGGTTGTTTTTCTGTCTGCTGATATTAGCGTCTCTGTCTGTGTCCTGCTGAGAGAGGGACACCACTGCGTCTCGCACGTTCATCAGCATCAGCACCGTAGCCATGGCAACAAGCTTCTTGATGACCATTGTAGAAAGGGAAGAGCTCAGCTTACATAAGGGCCCCAGTAAACAGCCATGTGTAGAGGGTTTTCTGTTATGTATTAGCAAAACAATTCACTTTTATGCCTGGGATTAAGGTATTTTCAGTATATCTTGTTTGGGGGAAAGAAATGCTTTATGTAATGGCAGGTAAAGTAGTAGAGCTGATTATAGAAGCAGCAACAAGGAGGATAGAGTAAAGGGAGACATGACAGGGCGTACTGACTGGAGGAAATTGTGTAGCAAAAAAAGGAAAGTTCAGATAGAGGATGCTTTGCTCCTGACAGTTTGAAGGTCAGTGCGTTGAGAGAGGGAGACAGACGTAAGTATGTGTGTGTGACAGAGACCGGTTGGCAGTGAGAGACAGAGGGTGAGAGGATAGGGCTGCAACGCCTCGCTGACAGGAGGGATGTGAGGAGGAAAGTGTAGAGTTCAGATAAGGGATGCTCTGCTCATGATAGTTTAGAGGTCAGTGCAGAAAGAGAGAAAGAGAGGAAGAAAGGAAGCACAGGGGAGGGGAAGAGAGAAACTCCTTTCCTGTCCTACTTACTTTATTTACTCCATCCAACCTCACTCTGGATCACAGACTGTGCCTCTACTTCTATATATTGAAATAATATAATATATGGGAGATAATCCTTGCTTTGTTGCAGTTGGATGAGAATATTGACACTACTCTCGTATCTGTATAGTTTGAAGCTGCCATCATCACAAATACTGCAACATTGTGACAGAGCTTGCCTGGCTTTATTCAAAAGTGCCAAGATTCATGATGCCTATGAAACAGTTCATAACAAATGGGCATTTAGAGGAGCTGGTACGTTGATAAACTAAGCTGGCCACATACTGTAGGTCAATTTTTTTTGTTGCCCTAATGATACTCTGTATTAAGAGTTATTATGCTTATTTCACAAAATGTCAAACTTGACCTTAAAAAATGCCCTGTTTTCTTTAAGCAACATTTTATGTTAATAATGTTTACATCAGAGTTACTTGTTAAGGTATAATGGGTTTATTTTTGTACCATGTGCATAAATAATACATGGTACAAAGAAACATGGAAACTAATGGAAAATAGTGGCCAGTGGCCAAGGACTGCAAAGATTAATTAAAGAGTCCCTTTGTTGTCATCCTCAACACTGAGTGGTGGTTACATAGAGAGCATTTAGCCCTCTCCTGATAATTGATTAAGAAGACAGGAATTACTGCTGGGCGTATCGCAAGGAATATGGGCGGAACCCCGTTCCACACCCACAGTGAGATACACCACTGTCAGCAAGTCACGGTCCACCTAGGATCCTGAATATTCCCACACTGATAAGACAAACTGCCTCTGTCTCTCACTCACACACATATACTGTATTTACACACGAGAAATTGACATTTGAAACCAGTCCTGCCTGATTCTAAAACCACAAACATACACATAAATAAACAGAAATTTGTGGTAATTATTTTGTGATAGCGCAGTGTTAGTTTTTGCTGACTTCCTTGTGAAAATATATGATCCACACCCTTAAAAAACCCTAGAGTTTTGATCAAAGTTATTACAAGGTTTTGGACCAACCTAAATTAGGTGGGTCAGACTTTTTCTTGTATGCATACGATGTGGACATTGACAGGCTCGCATTATGCTGGACCTCCTTAAGATGCTGCCTATGTGAGCGCTAATGAGCGGTTTTAAAAACTGCAGCAGCAGTCCAGTGGCCCAGAAGGACTCTGAAGGTTATGCAGGCTTGCTGACACCAACATAATCACAGAGAATCAGGAGACGAATGTGAAAAGAGAAAGCAAGAGCGTCAGCAAAAAGTACAATTTTTCTGATGTGACCTTCTTTGTTGGTTGAATTCCTGACACACAACTTCTCTGCTAGACTCTATGTTTGTGCTTATAGGGGTTTTCCTGGTTGCTCTTCTATGGAAAGTACACAACTATTGAATGGGGAAGTGGCTTTAACTTAAAGATGGCGATAGGCCGGTTCTGCTTTTTTCGATTTTTAGGAGAAGTTGTGTTTAAGTCAACTGATAGGAATGCCACTAAAGGTTTTGTAGAGAAGAACCTCTGACGTTGGATTTTGCACAAGAAGAAGTCATCCAGTCCTGCTTCCTTCCTATCCTAACGCCAGAACAATACGCACACAAATCAACATTAAAGCAGAAAATAATGAGGGAATGTTTTGGTGTATTTCATATATTAAGCTGTTACTCAAACACACTTCATTCTTTCAAATAGAACTGGAAAGTACCTTGTACTTTTTTACTTTGATTCTTTAAAGTCTGTACTGAACCAGGAAAAGTAGCCTTCATGCAGTCTGCTCCCTTTGAGTGAAAATTGCTTTACACATTAACTTCAAGAACCTGTTCCAACAGACTCTTTTAAGAGTATTTATGATTTAAAGGCAAGCTATTCCAGCTGTCAGTACTATACTATATGAACTATATGTTTGGTAAATTCTACATGTGGCTGTTATGTTAGCGAGGACGCCCCAGTAAAATATACTTAATCACAGCGAGGTATTTCCTGGTTAAATAGAGCTATTAAAAAAAAGTAGACACTAATCATGAACGTGCAATAACACCTGCATGCTGCCCCAAGGATGACTGTAATGAAGTTGAGCCATAAACACTCATTAGCATGTGGTCCTCCCGCACAAAGACCAGAGTCTCCAGTCTGTGTTGTCTCAACAAGAAGAAGGGCCGTGGTGTTGTGTGTCTCCACGGTAGACCGGCCTCGGCTGCTCGTCTTCATCAGGAGGATCGTGCACAGACTCCCTCTTTTCCAGTCTGATTGCTTTCAAAATGACAACGCCTCCAGACAGAGTTGGACGATGATGCAAATGGATGGAGATGGAAAGAGAGAGAGTGCTAGGAAACTCCATCAGTGCAGTGTAAAGTGATGAAGGAGCTTTAATGTGGAGTATGTAAAGATCTATATGTTGTGGCTGTGTTAACTTCAACTGCTGCTCTTGGGTCGATAAGTGTGAAGGGAGCCAGGAAAAGGAGGAGCTCGATAGCAGAGCCTAAAAGGACAATATTGTTCTAAAACAAGAGGACATTCGGAGCGGAAATATTTCGACTGTTTTCTTTCTGTCTCCTAGAATCTATGATGTTGTCTGTCCACTCCTATTATTCTCATTTCTGCACCATCTCCTTTAACGTCTTAGAAGATAGGGGATATGGGTGGTTGTTGTTTTTGTGGGAGACAGGGGGTGTGGGACAGACATGGGAGGGTAAAGACGCAGATTAGCAGAGTTTCTCAGGTCATGGAGGATGTCTGTACGGCTCCAGATAGAGACATTGGGAGGGGGGGAGGATAAATAGGGGTAAGTTAGCTATAAGGCAGTGTCGATGATATTAACACGGTCTGTAATGAACCTAAAGGGGGCTCTGCAGGTCTTAGGCGGGAATTAAGAGCAGCTTTGGGGGGCTTTAGCCAGTCTGATCCCATCACAGCTCATTTGGAGCAGTTATCCATGTTCTCCTACTGGGAGGCTCATACACCATGTACTAGTACTGCTCATCATTATACAAATATCAAAATAACACACTCAATGAGCTCCCAGGAGACTCACACTCCATATGCTGACCCACCAGTTCAAATCTCTATTAACCTAAATAAAGTCTGCCCCAGTTCCTCTCTGACATCTGTGAGTGTTTGTGCACAAACAGTAACTTCATTTGATTTGACTGACATTCTTTATCTTCATCAACCCTGCATCTTTGTCTTCCCTTCCTTTAATTCCTCCATCTGTTGAGCCACAGACGCTCCCAGAATCAAACAAACAAGAGAAGATTCACTGCTTATTCTGTCCAGTGAGCTGCAAATGTACACAGCCATGAATGTTTCATTTGATATCATTACTTAGCGTGTGGGTTTGGGGGGATTTGATGCTATAATTAGGTCTGTCAATAATTATAATTACGTTATTGACTTATTGTACAATATATTGACATGACCTCAATATTGACCTTGTGTTTAAATGCATGTCGTGTGTACAAAAGTATGTCACCAGCCAACACGATGCCAGAATAAGAAACACGGTTTGCCATCCCATGATAAGACGTTTGTTTATTGTTTTGGTTGCGTGGTTTCATTTGATTTATGTTTCATATATTTTATGTAATGTATTTTTCACATTTCTTTTCCAATGTCTGAAGATTCATTGTAAATAACAAATGAAATGCTCTTTAAAAGAGTGAACCTGCTTTGTTATGCTTTTATCAATTTGAATGAAATGGCCTTAAAATGGCAATGATAAAGTTTATCGCCGTATTTCCGGGACAATTAGTCTAGCAGGAAGGGCCCTCAGATTTTGAGATACCCCTACCCGAGGTAGAACAAATGACAACAATGATTTTTCTTATCTTTAGGGTCTCCCATTAATGAAATTGATTGTTGTCAAGTTTTATTTTGGGGGAAAAAATGTTTTTTTGGTTGTTCTTTAGAACTACCCCAATCCCTGAAAAAGAGCCAAATTAGACCAGGCCGAATATGGGAAAGGTGACAAAAAAGCCCATAACTTGAGAATGATCACTCTTTTCCTCTTCAGATTTGCTGAGGTATGAACCAGGTGGCTCTTCTACATCACCAAATAGTCAGACCATTTTTTAACTAAAGAAATACTGAATTATAGTCCTGTAAACTTAGCTTTAGTTTAGACGGAAATTGTACTTTTGGTGATAGGAACATAGGACTCAATCACTTTTCTCTCATTTATCAGAAAAACAGAAATCCCTAAAAAATATACCATTACTGAATTGTCTAGGGTGCTATTGAACACTAACCAGTAGTTGTATGGAAATATCTGGTACAGTTCTATTGCAAATTAGATTTCTTTAGACATAGGCCTACCTCTTCTCTGATACAGTCAAATGTTCTGGTCCATTTGGAAAACACAGACTCTCTGTAAAAAGGTTTTTAAGACCAAGCACAGAGATTGGCATCATCAGGTTGATCAGACTCTAGAAAGTTACCCCAAAGGCACACAATACATCACACAACTGTTTTCAAAGACTGAGTGATGAGTAAACTGACCTTTACGTGTCAAATCGGTGGAGTGCCCCAGCATTATGTATTTCCTTGTAAAAACGATTACACAATATCATGATGTTAGCACATTTGAATTCCCCAACATGTTACTGTATTTGTAGCTGTTCAGATTATTTGGAAATGTCCAGACAGCATCATCCGTGATTATGATGTAGACAGACGATAATAATAGATAGAAGAAGCATAAAAACAGGAACTGAAGAATCTGGGTTGGGCCAGTTAAGGATTAATAACTAGGTTTCCCTACAGGGAACACAATCTAAAAATACCCATGATACTGTCTGCGGTAATCGTACTGTTGATGCTGTTTCTGGAGCTTTTTGAGGCTGCAGCATAACGTCACTCAGGTGACCCATTGAGGAGCATCTCGCTGAGTCATGTTGGGTCAGGGTCTTATCAGGCTTACACAGGAGGAAACATACGCACATACAAAAAAGAGCTGAAGTAACATCTTTTGTCAGTCTCTTGCTGACAATGAATCAATAATTCTGCAGCATCCGGCCATTTTTTACCCAACCACTTTTTACCCATGCCACATTGTGTGCTAATGTTACATTATGTATTCATCGCCCTCTAAAAAAACTGCATTAGCCGGTTCTGTATTTGGAGGAAACATGGGAAAAATCGATACATTGCAGCCTCCAGCAGGCTCACCCTTATATCAAATTCCTGCTACATATATGAAAGTCAATATGTTAATCCATTTACAGAGGATCTTCTTGACAGATTGTGAAATTGTGCAAGTCTTTTCAGTTTGTGTGTGTGTTGGTGTGAAGCAAAGAGTAAACTGCAGATCCTATAATGCTTTAATTTGACCTGTTTACTGGACTATTCTGCCATTTACAACCCGATCTGCAGCCTGTGTCCTCACTGATCACACACAATCTTACTCACACATGGGTTTTTACACAAAAGCGAGTGGAATAGATCAGCCGATAGAGAAAAAGGGGGGGGGGGGGGGGGGGGGGGGACAGCCTGATGCACACCATACCCAAATATTTTGGCACAAAGCCGATCGCTGAGGCCAACCCTGCTCAACTTGCCTACTCATCATGTTTCCCTTTTTTTCAAAATACTGACCCCGATCACCAGCAGCCTCTGGACCTCATATAGAACTTTGAAATCCCAGTTTTAACCACTTGTACCACAGATGAAGGATACATCATTTATTAATCCTCCTAATTTTCTCTCATGGGATGAATAAAATATGTCTGTTTCTTGACACACTCTCCGGTCCGTACCTGAGGGGGTGAGCAGGGACCCGTTAGAGGAGGAGCGTCGGAGGATCCTCAGGCTGTCGCTCCAGGAGCGGGACTTGGGCAGCCTCTTCAGCAGCCGCCCCAGCCGGCGGGACACCTGTCCAAAGCAGGCACTTCCCACTTCCCCCTCCGAATCGCCCCTGACCTCATCCAGACGCAGGGACACCTGGCCCAGTAACATTCTGCCCGCCCCGACGCCTTCACCTCCCTCTGACCCGACCCCCTCCCCTTCCTCCTCCTCCTCCTCCTCCTCCTGCCCCGGGACGAGAGGTGCTATCTGTGCCATGGATGGCGCATGGTGACACCATCCGGCAGGCACCGACCTGTGCGCGTAGCCCTCGGTGGTCCTCGTGTCCTGCGCCCGGCCGCCCCTCTGAGGACTGCCCCAGCCCCAGCGCCAGCCCCCCCAGTTCCCCCCTCTGCCATCCCAGCGCAGCCACTCTGCCACCGGTGCCACGCTCCGTATAAACAGCCCCCTCTCCACCCGCTCTGCCACCCCTCCACCTGGACTCCTCGCACACTCCCTAATGCTCTCAACTTGCCTCACACTTTCCCCCCCTCTCTCGTCTGTACCCCCCTCACACCTCAGCGTGCGGATATGAGCCCTAAATCTCTGCTGTACCACTTGTTCCTCTCTATCATCTCTCTGTTATCAATGCACCCTCATCCTCTCTCCCCTCGTTCTCTCTCCCTCTCTCTACTGCAGCACCCACACACTCTGCAGCAACAAACAGCCAGCTTAAAGAGACAGAGACCCCCTCACAATCCTAGCTTCTCTTTCCCCCCGTCTCGTCTCTTTCCAGCAACAGGAGCCTTTTTCCTTTCCGATTCCTCAGTGATGGATTGTTCAAACTCCGTTGAGTAGCGGACACCAGGGTGGGATCTCCATACAGAAGGGGAGAAGCGTCACAGACCACTGCAGAGGGAGTTATTGACGCTGCGTCCTCTCTTCTCCCTCTCCTCGGTGTGACACCCTACAGCACTGGTTGAGGAGAAGTGAGTCAGCCGTCCTGTCTAACCCCTCAACGGTGACATATCTTGTCAGGAAGAAAGCATCACCTCAAATGAGTGTGCATGGGTGCTGGTGAGTGTGGGTTGAGGTGATGCGCAGTCCGGAGGTTATTAATATGCACTGTGAAATAGAAAGAGAGACAGAGAGCTACTGGGAGTTCAAATGCCCTACTTTCAAAAAGAAAGAGTTTGTGAGGAACATGATGTGCTCCCCAGCTTCACTCAAAAGCATATGACATAATCACGAGCATCGGCATATGAAGGTTATGCTCTGATCTTATGCCACAGTTTTTTAAATGCAGTACTGAGTATGACGTTATGCTTTTATTGTAAAAAATCCCTCACAAGAATCGCTCTTAAGAATGTCCTTGTCCTGTCCTTTCTGCCCTCTTCCTCTGCAGTTCTCCGATAACTATCCACCAAGGGCGACCTAAATATAGCCTGGTTGAAAATCCCCACTGTTCTGTCATACATACTGCTTAGCAGCGATGCACGGTGAGGAGAGCACAGAACACCATGCAGGTCTATCTGCCCAAACAACAACAAAAACCCATCTTGTCTCTTTCTCTATTTTTATCAAGGTCAAACAATGCTAAGTGGTGGGCGACCTGACTCTTTCCTCGTTTGGTTAAAAAAACGGAATGTAATGTGTAGTGTAAAACAAGTTTCATGTAACAGTTTGACATCATGTGATATAAGAGTGAGAGTCAATGCAGCCTTGTATTGAGCTTGTGTTTGTTTTTGAGACATATGAGCTCTGAATGAATATTTTGGTTGAAGTTAAAACTATCACACGTCTGGTGAAGCGGCAGCAGTGGTATGCCGGGACAAGAAGGTTACGAGCCATTTAACACAACCTATGTTTTCTTCCTCAACTGTGAATGGATCTCAGAGAGGACTGATGAGAAACAGCCAAAAGGGTTCCTAAGACAAGCTCTGTATTGTGTAGACCCTGGGAAGGGGTAAAATAAGAATGAAATAGAGTTTAAGGAAAACGTACATCCTCTAGAGGAATGCCATTGGGCAGAGAAGGCACTGGGGAGGGTCACTGTTAAGGTCTGTGGGAAATGTGTGTGTGTGTGTGTGTGTGTGTGTGTGTGTGTGTGTGTGTGTGTGTGTGTGTGTGTGTGTGTGTGATCATGTGGGGGCTTTCTGGAAGCCATGTGTCAAAAGCAGTATCCCTCGTTGTCTCTGCAGTGGCCAGCACATGACCTCACATCTGCTGGTGTAAATGCACTGTAAAAACAACAGTCTCCACTCTGCTTGCAAATATTCAATCACAAGTATTTCACAAATGTTTTTTGTTGTTGTTGTGAAATCCAAGTTTTTAGGGGCTTTGATCTCTGGGGCATTCACCTCTTCCTACAGTACTCTGACACAACGAGCAGAGATAACAGGCTGTCTTGCAGAATAAATAAACAGTTAGGGTGAAAATGTAAAAGTCACAGCAATCCGTCAAATGATAGGGAATTAATTGCACAAAAACAGTTGAGGTGTTTATAATGTGTTTGTTTACAATGACTACTCCTACAATGGAGCATTTATGACTGTTATAAATTGAATAACAAAGAATAACATAGCTTTAAATATATAGTCATATTGGACTGCACATGAACCAACCCTTATAGATATTCATTACCCTCTTTAAATGATGTACAACACATTCAGGTGTTGTATTTACAAATACCAAAAATGCCCTCACATTTGCTTACATCTATATTGTCTTGTGTTATAAAGCAACAATTGGTCATATGTTGCTTGTGCTACTCCAATTAGGTTTGAATGACAAGCATGTAAGTGTACATAGAGTAAGCATGTGTTTTTTCAAGACAGACAAACCCCAGTGTGCCACAACAGCATGGTTCCCTGGAAGCTTTAATTAAATATTAATCTGACGTCTGACTGTCTGCCAGTCTGTAATCCCAACCTCTCCATCTCTCCAGAGACATAATCTCAGGCAGGAGACACCCAGAGCTAGGATTAAGGAGGCTGCCATTGCCATTGCCATTGCCCTCACTCACTCCCTAACTCCCTCACTCCCTGCTTCCTTCCTGCCATCCCCGTCATAGCAAATGGCAAATCAAATCACTATAACACAGATCAGCCACTAACAGCATACCACCTAATCTACTGTACAGATTTATATACATGGTACACATTGGATTTATCTGATCTTTTTTTAAAACATGTTTAAAATAGTTTTTCCTTTTATAGTAACTCTCTTTTGTGCAATACACTTTGCTTCTCTGTGCACATAGCAAAAGTGTTTTTTGTTACAAAGAGAGTGAAAATGGAGTTCCCCAAAAACACCAGATTAGTGTTAGTAAAGCCGACATATGTGGCTTATATGTCTAGATCATCATTTATCAGACATGTTTGTCATATGCATCATTATTTGTTGCCCTATTAATGCCTGATGCCACATATGGCTCTAATCTTTGTGTGTATTTATGCATAAAATAGTGTGGGGGGTTGCGGGACAGCATAGACATGCTACAAATCAACCTCCAATTTTACTCCCATGAGAAGCATTCAAGTTGTTTTTTTAAAGCACAAACTCAGACTAAAGCTATAGCAGTAGGAATGAATTCAGAGGATCACAAAACATCTGAGCACGATGAGACTGGGAGCTCTGGCGGGATCGACAGATTTCACTTTGGGGTAAGGCCACATCACAACGATCCCACAAGCACTCGACGGTCCCGGGGGGGGGAGAAATAGCTGCATTACTGTTTCTATAAACTGCATATGCAACAAAGCCAGCACAGCTACAGGGAGGGTGATAAATTGAAGACAGACAGAGGGAGCGAGGCATACAACAAGACAAAGAGACTGAATGATGGTTGTTTATGGTCGCAAGGCCTCCGTCTCTCACTCCCTGTCATTTGCTGGGTGTAGTTCAAACAGAGCATGGCTGCATGTGCGTGCGTGTGTGTGTTGTTTCTATTTTGGCAGTTTTGGTTGCACAAAAATACCCTGAAATTCCTACATTTGTATTGCACGTCATAAATGATCTGGTGACCCCCTGTGACTGTAAACCGCATTTACCTCTGATGTTTTTCCGAGAAAACGGGGAGCAGAAAGGACCGTTTGATCTTGGGTGCAGCTGCTGGCAGGAGAAAGCTAGAGTTAATTAGCTTGATCCATAAAGACAGACTAGTGGAGACAAAAAGTTCTCGGGTTGTTAAGAAACTCATGACTGTGCATGTGTGTGTTTCTCAGGGTATGTGTGTGTGAATAGTGCTCCAGTAATCTGCTCTCGCTCCACTGAGCTCTTGCTGATAGCACACTAAATCAGACAGCTCTGCAGTGCTGGACAAACCCTCGCTCTTTTCCTCCATCCCTCACTCACATTGGCTCTTTTTCTTCCCCATCGTTCCTGTTCTGGCTCTGCGTCTCTCCTCATTCCAATCACCCGGCCTCCCTCCACCTCTCCTCTGACTATTTCCACTATTTTTGACTTCCCTTTTTCCAACCACTTGTAATTCTTTCCCTATCCCTTTCTTCCTTCACTTCTTTCAACCCTTTCTTCAATTGCGTTATCTCACACTGTTCTGCAGCAGCAGCCTCACAGTGACAAAGCGCTGCTGACAACATGCCAAGTCAGCAGCCGCATACACTCACACACCCATTGACAGCATGCATGTACAGTATGTAAGGAAAAGCCAACACATACACACACACCAAATAACTCTCCAGGTTAGACTTTCAGCAGGTGTGTTTGTGTGTCAAAGTGAACACTATATCCGGATTAAATATACGGTATATCTGCCAGGTCAAATTGGCTTGGCCCAAACTGTCTGCGTCCCAGAGCTGTGCAGGTAGGAGTGTTCTCCTCTCAGCAGTACAGTAAAGTATACAGTCAGGTATAGGAATGTGTAGATATAACAGGTACAATACATTTAAAATATTTTGGTTTGTCCTTACATACACACTCAACTGCTACTAGTGTCCCTATAACATAATAGCCTCCTGGTATAAACACATTCTAGTCAAACACATCATTTCATCCCGATTACAATTAAGCTTTTCCAGAAATTTCCTTTTTTTATTTTTGGATCCAGCCCAATGCACCACTATTAATTCTACTATCTTTCCCTCACTCTTTGAGCTGAGGCTGCAAATCCCAGAGTTAGAGCTCTGGGAGGTGAAGCTGGAAGGACAAGATAATGGGATTTCCATGGAAGATTTTTGGCTGGCTCTATGGATTTTGGAAATGTCCTTCCTTTTTATACTGGTTCAGTCACAAAGGCACACTCACACATTTTCCTTTCACACAACCACCAGTATTGGAAGAATGTACCACTCGGCTACTTGTGCCCTTCATAGAATAATCCAATATTGTACCAGAAACAAGATACAGGCCAGACAATCAAAACCTCCAAAAAAGTATTTCTGTTTCATTCAGGGAGAATATAATGAACTGATCACACAAACTGAAAACAGTGTGCTTTTTCAAGAGGTAAAGTTAGTGCTCAATGGCAATGGATGACTATTATCATGTAACTCCAATTGTTATGCAGAAAAAACACTCACAGGAGAGATGAAAACATGATTTGACTCCTTACTACTTACTTTCACACTTGAGTGCCTGCGCAGTGATCTGGCGGCTACAGGCGTCACACCAGTCCTGCGTGCAGGGCTTGGACTCGAACCGGTGTCCTTCACCTTTCTCGGTCCTCACCCGAGGGTCCACTCCCCGGGGGAAGATGGACCAGGCCTCTCTGCGGGGAACCTCGGTGCGGGCCAGCTTGACGACCCCCGTCCTGCCCTGTGTGAGCCGCTCCAGAGAGAGACTGCCGCTGAGCCCCGGTGCCGGCCCGGGGGGGGAGACGCTCGGCTGTCCGCTGTCTCTGCTCCGACTGTCCCGCCTCCCGTCTGCCGCAACCCGGTGCCGGTGCAAGCCTTTGTGTCCGTTCGTGTCCGCTCCGTTTGCCATGACATTGATGCCCGACCTCTTGAGAGAAGACCCCCTCCGGCTACCTGTGTTACGGTTTGTGTAACAGTC